CCCAAGGAGCTTCCAGGGAACGCCCAAGAGGCCCCCCAACGCACCCCAAGAAATCATGTCCCCAGAAAGCCTTCTGGGGACATGATTCATGGGCCCAAGAGTTCCCAGAGGCCCCCAAGGGGCTCCCAGGGCTCCAGGGAACGCCCAGGAGGCCCCCCAACACACCCCAACAAACCATGTCCCCAGAAAGCCTTCCGGGGACACGGTTCATCATGGGCCCGCGAGTCTCCAGAGGCTTCGAAATACCATCATGCTACAGGAGAGCTGTCCGGGAAGTTGACTGGGATGGGAGCATGACTGATCGCCTTCTCGCGGCCCTCCGCAGATCGTTTCGCACAAAGTTGACCCAAGTGCCCTCTTGAACCGACGACGACGACGACGAAACGACGAAGACGAGGACGAGGACGAGGACGAGGACGACGACGACCACGAGGACGAGGACGAGGACGAGGACGACGACCACGACGACGACGACGACGACGACGCCGACGACGACGACGACGACGACGACGACGACGACGACGACGACGACGACGACGACGACGACGACGACGACGACGACGGCGCGCCCCAAGAGGCGACGACGACATTACGACGACGACGGCACGCCCCAACAGGCTCCTCAAGACGCCCCCCAAACCCATGCTCCCAGAAGGCCTTCTAGGAACCCGATTCATCTGGCCTCCGCCACCCTACACAACCATTTCCCCCGAAAGCCTCTCGGAATGCGGATTGGCATGCGTGGACTGTGGTCCACTACTTCAGTGGAGCAGTGACTTCGTCACGGCCTGGAGCCTGCTAGAACCTGAGCGCGCGCGAAGCGCGCGTGATGGTTCTAGTATGTATGTATATGTATTCTCATACGCACCTCTCCGAGGGAGTAGAGCTCAGAGCCGATTAATTGAAGGCGGCGTCCGCGACTTTTCTGGCCGTTTCGCTGGGGACATCGTCGAAATTCTGAAAATCGGTGGCACCCCTCACGCAGATCGTGACGTCAAGGTCTAAAAGCACATGGGAATTTCAACATTCTAACATAGAACCTTCAAACACACATTGTAATTTCAATGATTTTGACCCCGATTCTCAGAGAATGGCGATTTCGCCTGAGACATCCTCCCAAAATCGAGCCCCGACGTACCTTCTGGTACCCCAGACCCCGCCTCGGAGCCTTTTGGGAGCCTCCTGGAACCTCCTGGGGCCTCCTGGGGCTTTCTGTATTTTCTGATACCCCAGACCCCGCCTCGGAGCCTCCTGGGGGTCTCCTGGAACCTCCTGGGGCCTCCTGCGGCCTCCTGGAGCCTCTTGGGGCCTCCTGGAGCCTCCTGGGGTCTTCTGGGGCCTCCTGAGGCCGCCTGTGGCCTCCTGCGGCCTCCTGGGGCCTCAGAACTACATGCACACACAGAGACACAAATCACACCCAACACATCACACGCTAGACAAACATAACACACACAACACCTGCAACGCACAGAAAACACGCACAACACAGAGCACACATCACACACACACAACACTCACAATCCCGGGGCCTCCTGGAGCCTCTTCTGGTATCCAAGTCGGGCCTCCTGAGGTTTCCTGGGGGGCCCTGGTACACACATCGCAAGGTGTGGCAACCCCACTTGCGCTCGAGTGCGATCTCGATCTTAGATTCTTCTGCGTTCACCTCATGCCTCTTCCCCTTCTCTTAGGCACGCCCTGGCGGCGCCGCCCCAACTTTCCCTTCTCCATCTCCGATCCTGCAGTCATGGTGTCTTCCTGCTTCAAACGCCCTTTCAGTTTTTTTGTATGAGCCTGGACACACACGTGCCACTTGTATATTTCTGTATGTACGCATGTGTGTATGTCCGTCTGTCCGTCTGTTTGTTTGTGTGTAAGTATGCATGCACGTATGTATCTATGCATGTAGCTATGTCTATGTATGCACTATGCATTCATGCATCCGTGCATGCATGTATGTATGTCTGTATGTATGTGTGCAAGTATGCATGTAGGTATGTATGCATGTGCTCATGTATGTGTATGCATGTGTGCAGTTATGTATTTATGCATGTATGCATGCGTGTACGTGGGTGTGTATGTGTATATGCATGTATGCACGTATGTATGTATGTATGTATGTAAGTAGGAATGTATGAGTGTCTGTAGGTCTGTATGTATGCATGCATGCTTGTTTGTATGCATGCATGTGCGTATGTATGCGCGTCTGTATGTACATGTGCATATGTACTTGTGTGTGTATGTATGTAGGTATGTACGTATACATGTCTGCATGCATGCATAGCTGCATGCATGCATATACGGTTATACGTATGTATGTATGCATTCATGCATGTACGTATATATGCATGCATGCAAGTATTTATGTATGTACGCATGCATGCATGCATGTGTGTGTGTATGTATGTGTGCATGTGTGTGTATGTATGTATGTATGTATGCATGCATGCATGCATGCATGCATGCATGCATGTAGGTACGTACGTACGTCCGTATGTATGCATGTATGCATGTATGTATGTATGTATGTATGTATGTATGTATGTATGTATGTATGTATGTACGGGTGTGTATGTACGTATGTATGTATGTATGTATGTATGCATGTCTGCATGTATGTATGTATGCATTCATGCATGCATGCAAGCATGCATGTATGCATGTATGCATGTATGCATGTACGTATGCGTGTATGTATGTACATATGGATGTACGCGTGTGTGTGTGTGTGTGGGTGTGTCTGTGTGTATGTATGTGTGTATTCATGCATGTATGCATGCATGTATGTATGAATTAATGCATGACGGTATGCATGTACGTATGTATGTACGCGTCTGCGGGGGGTGTCTGTGTGTGTGTGTGTGTATTTGGGTATGTATGCATGCATGCATGCATGTATGTATGTATGCATGTATGTATGTATATCTGTATGCATTCATGCATGCATGCATGCATGTATGTATGAATGAATGTATGTATGAATATATAGATATATAGGTACGTGTGTGTAGGTGTCTGTGTGTGTAGGGTATGTACGTATGTATGCATGCATGAATATATGTATGTATGTATGTGCCCGCCTGCCTGCCTGTCTGTCTGTCTGTCAGTCTTGCCTGTCAGTCTGTATGCATGAATGCATGTATGTATGCATGCATGCATGCATGCATGCATGCATGTATGTATGTATGTAGGTATGTAGGTATGTAGGTATGTAGGTATGTAGGTATGTAGGTCTGTAGATATGTAGGTATGTATGTAGGTATGCGTGTATGCAGCTATGCAGGTACGCACGTAGTGTATGTAACGTAGGTCGTGCCGGTATGTACGGATGTACGCATCTACGACTGTACACATGTTTGCACATCGACTCGCATGTCTAAGGCGCCTGCTGCGGCTCACCGCCGCTCCCTGCTTTTCTGGCACGCCTGTGCGGCCAGGTGTCGGGCCAAGGTGTGGTCAGGCTATCGGACACGTGCTCCCCAGCCGTTGCGGAATCCCACTGGGGGACACTGGGCGGAGGAAGGGAAAGGAGGAGGCGAGGGCGGAGCGGGACGAGAAGGAAGCGGGAGGAAAAGGAGAAGGAAGAGAGGGGAGAAGGAAAGGAAGGGAGGAGCGGGACGAGAGGGAAGAAAAGGAGGCCCCCCGAGCCCCTCTTGAGGCCTCCTGGGTCTTGGGGACCCCTCAGGGGCCTCCGGGGACCCCTCTGGGACCTGCTGGCCTTCGGAGGCGGTCTTGGGGCCCGCCTCAGGGCCGCCTCGGAGGTCTCTGGGGCCGTCTTGGTGCGTCTTGGGGGCATCTTAGGCTGTCTCAGGGCCCTCGTGGACGGTCTTGCTGGCTTTTTTTGGTCCTCATGTGCCGTGTCTTAGAGCGTCAGGAGCCCGAAAAGGCGAGACCGCTCGAATCAGTGAACAACGTAAGGAAGATCACATATTTTGCCTCCTGGAGGTTCTCTTGGGGCGTCTTAGGGGCCTCTGGGCTTCCAGAGGCCGTCTTGGGCTCTCCCGGGGAAGTCGTGTATTCTTCTTTGCTCTTAAGGGCCGTCTTGGAGGTCTCTGGGGCTGCCTTAGTGCCGTCTTGGAGGCCTCTTGGGCTGTCATGGGGCCCTTCTTGGCCTTCTTGGGGCGATCTTGGGTCCCGTCCTGGAGCGTCGAATGCCCGAAAAGGCGAGAACGCTAATATCATTGAAAAGGAACATCTGAGGTTTTGGCCTCCCTGAGCTCTTCCTGGAGCCCTCTTGGGGTGTCTAAGTGGCCCCTTGGCCTTCAGCGGCCGTCTTGGGCCCTCCCCGGGCAGTCGTGGATCCCTCTTTGGACGCCTCATGGCCGTCTTGGAGGATTGTCTCTGGGGCCGACTCGGGGGCCCTGTGGCTGTCTTGGGGTCCTCTTGGTCTTGCGGACCTCTGGGGTGCCTCTTGGGCAGTCTTGGGGCGATCTTGGGGGCCTGTGGGCCCGTCTCGGACTGTCGGAAGCTCGACAAGGCGAGACCGCTAAGGTCTGGAAGCACATAAGGGCAGTCAATGATTGTGACCTCCTGGAGTTCCTCTTGGAGCCCTCTTGGGGTGTCTGAGGGGCCTCTCGGGCCGTCTGGAGGACATCTTGGCTGGATGACGGACAGCCGTGGCGGCGGCTGTCGCGTGAGGCCGAGGCGGGGGGGTCTTCGCGCCTGTAACTGGTACCTGCTCCCAGAGGTCCCTCGAGCTGGGACGGCGCCCGGAGGAGGAGGAGGAGGAGGAGGAGGAGGAGGAGGAGGAGGAGGAGGAGGAGGAGGAGGAGGGAGGGGGAGGATTGGGGAGGGGGAGGGGGAGGAGGAGGAGGAGGGGGAGGGGGAGGAGGGGGGGGGAGGAGGAGGGGGGGAGGAGGGGGGGGGAGGAGGAGAGAGGAGGAGGAGGAGGAGGGAGGAGGAGGAGGAGGAGGGGGAGGAGGAGGAGGAGGAGGAGGAGGGGGGAGGAGAGGGAGAGGAGGAGGGGGCGGAGGAGGAGGTAGAGTAGCCGCGGTGCGTCGGAGGTGACGGACAACCAAATCAAGGCGCCGCGCGCCTGTCTTTCCGGCCCCGGGCGCCCGCTCGCACCCCCTTGCCCCTCCGCTCCTCCTTCGTCTCCTCTCCTCTCGCCTCCTGTCCTCCCCTCTCCTCTCGCCTCCCTCCCTCCCTGCCTCCCTCGTGCCTCCCCCCCCGCTCCCTCCGCCCTGCTCCACTGTCCCTCCTCCCTCTCGCCTCCCCTTCCGCCTGCGTCTCCCGCTTTCCTCGCTGCCCCGTCTTCCCCACCGACCTCTCCTCCTGCCGCCCGCACCCCTCCCAGTCCATCGCCGGACGAGTCAGGCCGAGACGTGCGACGAGACTCCCCCTCCTCGTGCTCTTGGAGCTTCCGCGACTCCCGGCCGCTCCTCGGGCGCCAGTCCAGAGCCCTCCCCTCCCCCCCTGGTACCCCCCCCGCCCTCGCGTCGTGGCAGCAACTGTGGCCCGGGCCCGCCCCCTCCCGGGCCGGCAGGGAACGACGCAGGAGGAAGAGCTGCCCCCCCCCCTTGGGAAAGGGGGTGCGAAAATCACGACGTCGGATCGGTACGATCGAAGTTCAGAGGAGGGAAAGGTACCCATACCGCTACCCTTCGGCCGTTTTCCCCTTGGGAGGCCCTCGTCGCCACCGCTGTATTCGCTTCGAAGTCCTGGAACGCACCCTGGGAGACGTCCGGGGAGTAGCGGTATCGGCACCTTTTGGTTTCCCCAGACGTGGATACGGAAGGAATGGGTACGAAGACCGACAGCAATTCCTGCTCATTTTGAGTAGGATTCGCTGTCGGCGTCGCCGCGGACGTTGTCCTCTTGATACAGCACGTCGCCTGCCCAACAGCGACCGCTGTCGGGCTTGGACAGCATTTGTTGTTGGGCATCGTACCCATTTTTCCGTACCCATGTCAGGTACATCGGATGTTTGGGTCCCTCCAGCTTCTGGCCCCCAACACCTGGGCCACCCCAGTCAATCAGCGAGTCCCACGCCGACCCCTGAGCGCTCCAGCCACCCGCGCAGTCCTCCTCGGGCTGGGTCTGGCCAGGCCAGCATTGCTTGCTCGTCTGCTCCCTCTCTCCTTCTCCTTCTGCAAATTCTAGGCCACTCCTGTGACAGCAGTTTGCTTCTGGCTGCCACAGTGCAGATGGCCCAGCTGCTTTGTCCAGAGCATCGCCCCTGCTGTGAATGACGAAGCAGTAGTGCCGATAGAAGTCCCTCCTATTAAAAAAAGGGTTGGTACTCCTGGAGCCATCCATGGTGGACACCACTTCCTCCCCCCTCCCTCTCTCCCTCCGTGGTGCTCCCTCCCTTCCTCCCCCCTCCCTCTCTCCCGCCCTTCCTCCCCCTCCTTCTGTCTGTGCACTGGGGAGACCTGCAGCTATATGAAGCCACATGAGGCCGTGCACGGTACTGATCCCCAGTCTTCGACCACGAATCGGTCTTGGAGCATGTCGTCGAGTCCCTTCAGATCTGGGTGTCGCAGAACAATTGTGACGCCCGACCTTTCGTCAAATTCGGCTTCCCGAGGCCGTTTCCCAGCCCCACGATGAGCCCCGCGGCCCTGGGACTTGTCCCCGCGATTTGGCGCTCCTTCCCTCCTCCATCCCTCTTATCAGATGCCTCACGCCCTTTTGGTGTGGCTGGGAGGGATACGACATCAGGGAGAGGAGGGATAGGAATAGGAATAGGAACCAGTGACGGTGCCAGTGACAGTCGGTGTCCCCCGCTTGGAACAAGAAGCCATGTGACACGTAGTAATTCTTCACGACCCGACCTGCACCCTTGGCTTTCACTGTTCTTTCAGGTTGCTAGACCCAAGGCGACGTATAAGTGGAGTCCCCTACGGCTGGCCCAAATACGCTGAGACACAAGGCATGGGTACACAGCATGCACATGGTGAAGACTGTCTCCGTAAACGGCGGGATGAGAAACTCCTCACATCGCCCCCAGAACTATGTGAGACAACACAACTGTCAGCCAAGCTGAGTCGCATTCTCTGGAACGCAGCTTGCATGTACAGGATCCACATTCACCACGCACGGAGCTTCACACCGCAGAGAGTGCAGGCCGACCCGAGTACACGAGGAATATCTTCGGACGCCGCTGGGAGCTTGCGGCTGAGCGAATGGTGACGCAGGATGCACCCGAGTTTGACTGCTCCTCCTCCTCTTCCTCCTTCCACCCACCAAAAGAGGGGGTTAGAGTAGCTTCACGACGGCCGCCCGCGCCAGGCCACGCAGAGAAATCCGCGGCCCCTCGCCTGCGCGGTGACCGGTGTGTTCGTGGTGCACCTCCAGAGGTGCCGCACCGAGCGCAGGCGACAGGAAGAGCTCGAGCTGCATCCCTGCGACCAGGGGAGCGCAGTGACCGAGCACATGGAGTTCATGGCAGGATGCAGCGGGTCGCTCCCCTCGGTGCAGCACCAGGAGTGGATGCGCGCCGAATGCCGCGGAAGGTTTGTTGGGCAGAGCCCGCGGGGACCTCCACTCGCCCGTGACGGACGCCGCCCACGGGGTGCACGAAGGAATCAATCACGAGGGAAAAACACACACAGACACAATTGATCGTCGATTCCCCAGAAAACATGGGAAAATATGGGAAGTGGGGGGGAAGGCAACAAACCCAGAAAACATGGGAAGATATGGGGAATCCTGTTATTGGTGCCTATTTATTTGCGTGCTTGCGGGCACCTTCCAATCAACCCGTGTAAACGAATACGACACGTCCCACTGCATCTCCCAAGTTGAAGTACGCCTTGGTGTGGAGGGTTTTGCTGGCCACAGCCCGCCAGGACCTCCATCTGTGGCGGACGCCGCCCTGGGAGACCATGGAGTGGCCAAGGCCCAGCCAGCACCAGCTGCCGAGGAAACTCAGCCTGACTCACGCGTGTTGCGAACCGTTCGTCCCAATCTTGGTCGCCTGGAGCATAATGCCAAAGGCGCCAACTCCAGTAGTTGCAAGCACGCCGCGACATGGCGCTGGGACTCGACGGGAAGGCAATTCAGAAGCGAAGCTGTCAAATTGCTACTACTGCGCCTCGGGCCGCTTGTGCTTGATGGGGGGAGGGGAAGGCAGGGCGGGGAGGGGAGGAGGTGAGGGCGGGGACGAAGGAAGGAGGGGAGCAGAGGAGCCCAGACTCTCCTTCCCTCCCGGTCCCGCCCTCCCCCCGCCTCCCCTCCCTCGGGGCATGTGATGCGAAGCGTGTCGTCCCGCTTGGTCTCCATCCAGGGCGATGCGAATCGGTGCCATCGCAGGCCTGGAAGTTGACACCAGCACCAATATCGGCGGTGTGCCTCCACCACGGGAAGATTATTCCGATCTCGGTGATGGTGGTAATATTCTGGCTTCCAAGGTGGCCGAAGTATTACCTCCAACACCGAGATCCAGGATAATCTTCCCCCCTGTGGAGGCACCCACCTGTGTTAGTGTTGGTGCTCATCTCCAGGCCTCCAGTGCCATCCAGAGAGCCCCAAATACCGCCCTCGTGCCGCGCACCATGCAGCCGTCCGTCCTGCCTGCCCTCCCCCTCCCTCGCCCCCCCCCGTGGCGCGCCCGCCTCCGACACGGGGCTTCTGGTCGAGGAGGGGGGGGCCTCGGGAGAGGCTCCTGGAGAGGAGGGACCCCAGGAAGCCGTCGTGGGCAGCTGCGGGCCAACCGAGGGAGCGAGGGCTGGCGGGATCGAGGGAGGCGCCGAGATAGGATCGGGGGCGGAAAAGAGGGGGGTGATGACTGGGGGGGGGTGGATATCATGGCGTGGGCCATGATATCTCCCCAGATTTCGTGGCGCCTCTTATTAATTTATTACGTCCCTGGCCCCCCCGCTGGGCCGCGCACATGCCGCCGGTCGTTATTTGCACCCCCCCCTCTTGGACACCCCCCTCTTGGCCGCTCCCGATAGGAGGAGGGAGAGACGGCCGCAAGCAGCAGGTGGAAGGCGGCGCTGCGGCTGCTAGCGGCTCTGCTTTGCGGCGGCTGCTGGCTTCCCGTCAGGTTTCAGATCCGCACGGCTACCCCATACAGCCCATCAAGATCAATCTCTTTGACGAGGCCGCTAGCTCTTTTTTGTCCGTTTGCTGCGCTTCGACGGCTTCCCTTTATTTTGGTCATCGTTTCCGTTCGTTGCCTCTTCAATGTGTCTGGCACCATCCTTGCTGATTATATTTGTGTTTCGTCCTCGCTCTCTTGTTACTTCCGTCATGGAGAGCATTGCTCCTGAAGCTTCGGAACGGCGGGGGTTAAAGCGTGACATCCAATACGCTATGCAGAGCACCCGTTCTTACCTTTACTCTCTACCTTCTTCCTTCCGCTCTTCCTCTCTCCTCTCTCCTAGATTAACCTGGAAAGGCCCGGCGTCTAGACACCATCTCACGTATCACGTGAACTTCCTTATGGTCAAGTTCTATATTATTTTTGGGGAATGGCGCGTTTCGTGGGAGGCGTGTGTGTGTGTAAGCAAGTCCATGCATGCAGCTGGACATGCACAAACGCTCGTCACATCACGCGCTTGTATACGCATGCGCGAATCTGCGAACACACGCTTCTGCACATTCACAGGTGCGCACGCGTGCTGTAGTCGTTTTTGTCAATCTTCTGTGATCCAGGGCAGGGTTGAATATGTTTCTCGCCTCAGGGCCACTCAGCAAGCGTCAGTAGACTGGGCGGCGGCACCAATCAGTGCGCCACCGCATCGTCATAAGTCAGCATGGGGTCTGGAGCGGGGATCACCGAGCGCGTTCCTCTACTCGCAAAATGCCCACTCGCAAACGTCCGAAACAGAGGCATGTTCGCCTCGATGTGGTGGATCGTAAGTCCCCCCGCGGCGGATCTAGGCCGTTTGCGAGCCGCTACTTTGCGATTAGCGGAAGGCGCTTGCCTAGGGGGAGAACGTGCGTAGACTTCAGCAATGAGTTCTTGAGCATCACTCCGGAACCACCCGAGGTGCTTCATGCTTGTGGAGTGCGCTCTCTGGCCGTCCCGCGGCCCTAACCCCCCCTCTTCGCTCCTGCCTTCTTTCAGGAGGGGGACACACACACAGGCACAACGAATCGTCGATTTGCATGAAAGTATGGGAACGTATGGGAAGGGGAGGGAAGACGAAATCCCAGAACATATGGCGAAATATTGGGAGTCCTGGGATTTGTGTGCATTCATTTGTGCGTCCTTGGGCGCCTCTTTTTTCCAAGGGAGGAAAGTCCACCCAGGCCCCGACAATTGGCGTTTGCTCAACGGCCCTGGGCGTGTACTAAACAGCCCTGCCCTGCTCCATTCCTTCCCTGTGGGCTTTTACGAAACGGCTTATACCCATTCTTATCAGTATTTTTATTTTTATTTATGTTCCTAGTCTTTTTATCATTGCTGTTGTTCGTAGTAGTACTAAACGTTTCATTCGTATGATGATGAGGATGATGATGATGCTGCTGGTAATGATGATGATGCTGATGCTGATGATGATGACTATTCGTATTATGATGGTTACGGTTATGATGATGCTTCTTAGTATTATTATCATCGTTCGGATCATTCGCATCATTACCATCTTCATTATTGTAATAACATTTAGTTTTATCGTTGTTCTTATAATGTATGCATGTTTTATTATTAGTAATGTTAGTATCATTGTTCTCCTCCTCCTACTTCTCCTCCTCCTCCTCCGCCTCCTCCTCCTCCTTCGCCTCCTCCTCCTTCTCCTCGATGTCATCAGCATCCCATCATCGTCATTCATATTACTATTATTGTTGTTATTGTTATTATGATTGATGTTGTAAATGTTATTATTGTCATTACTATCATTATCATTTTCCTTATTCGTATCACCATTCTCATCATTCTTCGTATGATTATTAGTAGTATGGGTATGCCCTTCATTATTATTATCATCATTTTTATTATTGTTGTTATCGTTATTGTTAGTATTCGTATTCGTATTAGTATTGTCTTTCTCAATCGTAGTATTTACGATTGTCGTTATTTTTCCCATTCTTGCTATTCTTGTTATTACTATTGTTATTTCTTATGAGGGTGGCTTTTCTGTTCTCCATCTTTTGTTCCCGTACGCAGAACCTGCTTCCGACGCCCCCCGCCGTTGGCCGACCGCTTGCTGGGCCCAGCTCGCCGCAGATCAGCAAAGCTGCAGAATCCTGGCCGCCAGTGGCACCGCCCCCCGAAAGAGCGCAGCCGACGGCGGCGCGCGTGGCGGAGGTGGGCACGGGCGCCCTGGGCCGACCGGCAGGGGGAGGGAACCCGCGGAGGGCGGCCTGGGATCGCGATGGGCGCTGGAGAGCAGCGCGGTCGGCGATGGGTCGGGGCGGAGCCGGCCGATGCCCCAGCGCATCCCGTGCGCTGCGATCCACACGCCAGCCCCGGGCAGTTCATCGCCAGAGTCCCTCTCTGAACAGAGCTTTTCTCGAGCGCCAGGCGAAGGTCAGTACCGTTATCGTCCTCCGGCGGGCTCAGGCCGAACCCTGAAACAGGCTGCGGAGCAGGGAACAAGACTCTGGCGAGAACCCCCCCCCGTGACTCCGCGGCTGCATGAAGGCTGGCACATGTAGAACTAAGAAGCATCGTGTCTGTGAAACCCCGGTGCATCGGCCGCGCAGAGCCGTCGGCGAACTCGGGCTCCCTCGCGCAGGGCCGTCGGGCCTTTGTGCGGCGCAGGCTCTGTGCGCGGCAGTTCTCCCGCCGGGGGCCAGCCGCAACGGGGGTGGGGAGAGGCTTCGGGGTGCGCGCGCGCAGGCCCCTTCCCCCGGGTGGTCCCAGCGGGCCTCAGCAGGCCCCTCGAGCAGTCTGGGGCGGCCTCAGCGCCCCGGGGCCAGATGGGACTACCGGGAGGGGCTTTCCGTGCGCAGCCCGAAGCCCTGGAGACAAGGGCGCCCTCGAGGGCGCGAAGTCATTCGCGCTTCGCGCTTCGCGGTTCGGCTCCCATTCCTCCTCGTCCTCCTCTTCTCCCCTGGGAGGCGGCGCGAGAGCGCGAAGTTATTCGCACTTCGCGCTTCGCGCAGCGCGAAGCGCGAAGTTGGGAGCCCTTGTGGAGAAGTGCAGGAGCCTGTCGGCGGGAGGGCGTGCCTGGAAAAGTGAAAAAGGCCTACCCGTTTTGTGTTTGCGCTGTGACGGGGAAGAGGTATGAGGCTCCGCCAGAAGATCAGCATGCATTTGAAGACGCCACGTCGTGCCGTCGGCACAGTGGCGGATAGTTGCAATTCTGGTAGTAGTGGCAGGCGTGGTGGGAGTAGTGTTAGTAGTAGTGGTTCTGGTCGTAGCATCCTAATTTTTTCCCCAAGTGTGCGGGTTTTCAGGGAAGCGGGGTTGACGAGGAGGATGCAAAAGGATCGTTCTTCTTTTCCCACTCGAGGAAGCGCAAACTTGGATTAAGGCGCTTGGGTTAGCGACGGGTCCCGTTTCCCACATGGAATCAAGGCGCTCTATCACTTGATCAAGCGTCAAGTGTGCCTTCCCCGATCCGTGGATCTGGCGCCACGCGCCCGATCCACGGATTCCCCATCCA